AGCTCAAGTCATACATATTCATAACAATAGCAATTTTAAACTTATTATCCTTCAGCCCCTAATCACAGTGGGAATTCAGCTAGTTCTTTCACCATATTCATATATTTTTTTTTAAACTGAAAAATCTTAAACAAAATTTCTTTTTAGAATATAACCGCTTTAGATTGTTAGAAAAATGTTATGCACTAATATAATTTAATTAATAAAATGATTAACAAACTTACGATAAAATATGAAAGTAAGTAAATTCATATAGAGTAAGAAAGAGTTGGCCTGTGAGATTGAGAGGTGTGTAGTCACTTTCCTAAAGCTGTTGTTCCTCCCCACGTGAAGGTACAAGCAGAGTGCAACGGCTCCAAGTTACAACTCAAGTGCTCACAGCCTTTCTCATCCAATGTTCATGTCCACCAGGAGGATATGAACGAGTCACGAATCATAGTTGCCCAAAAATATGAAAGATAAATCAAACTATACTCTTCAACAAAATCTCAATATATATTATACTCATGTGTACTCTTGTGTGTCTCTTATGTACCCTTCATCTTTAGAAAACATAACAATATATATAAGTGAAAATCTCATAAGAATTAATACTAACATTTAATCATTACGTACTTATAATAATAAAACTTAATAATAACTTTGTAAAACAATATTAATATTAATAACGGTCAAATAAATTAAATAAAAATAACTAATTTTATTTTTATTAAAATTCAAATACTCATTATGGCGTCATTTCGACGAACTAAACCGTTCTTTTTTATTGAACCATGCATGTATATCATCTATAAAAAAAATCAGGTTGATCTGATATTCGTAACGCTTCATTTTATTCAATTTGTAACCAAAAAAATAGATGGTCTATTTTTAAAACACATTGATCGTTAATTTTTTTAAATACAAATTCTATAAAATGAAGGGATTACGAATATCGGATCAACCTCATTTTTTAATGGATAATATACATGCATTATCTGATAAAATGAACGGTTTAAATTGTCAAAATAGGACTCGTAGTGAGCCCTACAAGTCTGGATAGTCCCCTTCAATCTAAATTTGAAATGAAGATAAGCTAGTCTCATTTTTCAAATCCCAGCTAAAATCATGTCCTTATTTTAATCTTGGGGCAGGACTTTCCATAGTTTCAATTTTCAAATTTCAATATAGTGTTGGCCAAATCCTTAAGGCCCCATTTATTTTCAGAGGTAGAATGGAAGAGATTGATAGTAAAGGGATTAGTAGTAAGGAGATTAAGTAAAATTATGTTTGTTTTGATGATAGTTGTTAGAGTGAGGATTGTTAAATTATTACCCTATAAAAGAAATATAAAATATTAAAGCAAATAAAACTATGATTTTTACTTAACAAAAAATAAAAAAACATTAAACATTAATGTTAAAAAAAATGCCCAACACGTAAAAAATAAAATAAAAGAACCCTTAGTTGGAGGACTAATTTCCTAATACTACCTCTACCTCCTCCATCTCAATCACAACACCAAGGCCCATTCTAATCCTATAGGATTATGAATCCTCTCGCCATCTCCCAAAACAAACACATCATATAGTGAGTTCCACCTCCATCTCAATTCCATTCACAGTTCTATCTCCCAAAACAAACGGGGCCTAAGAGGTCAGATATATGAATCTCACTATATGTATGCGAGTTTTATTGTATTTTGTTGGCAATTTCTCCTTTAAAAAATAATAAGATAAATTACCAATAGGTCATAATAGATGAACTTAATTCTCATAAAGTCCTATAGAAAATTAGTCATAGTAAAATCTTTGTTAAAAATAATTTTTTGTGACAATTTTTTGCACATGTCGTTCAAAATTGACAATTAGTGACTTTTTGGTCACAGTTTTTATAAATTGTTGCTAAAACTTACAATTAGTGACGTTTTTCTGCGACGAATGTTTTTAAACTGTCGTTGAAAGTTAAAAATTAGTGACTTTTTTGTGACGACTTTTTTAAACTGTGGTTAAAATTTATAATTAGTGATATTTTTTGTGACAATTTTATAACTGTCGTTGAATATTAACAATTAGTGACTTTTTTAATAGTGTTTGATGAAAAATGCTATTAGTTATCATAGAACCTATTGGACAATAAGTCCACCTATTAGGACTTACAGGACTTACAGGTAAGTTTCCCTTTAAAAAATGCATTTAAATAGGAATAATACTTTGAAAATTGCATTTTCATGAAGTTATAAGTGAACATTTGTTAGTTGCAAGTGAAAGCTGTGGCATGGAACACAGTTTTCACTTGCTTCGATTTACTCCTTTATGAAATTACAAATACTTTGAATTATTCTCACTTTAATGCAATTTTTTTCTTTCTTCTTCCTATTTATATTTTTTTTTCTCATTTTTATTCAAAACTGACTATGAGTTCTTCGGCCCTAGCCGACCACTTAAAATGGGGTCTTTTGCATAATCACAACAAAAAAAAAATTGTAACTTTCATTTTTTAAATTATTATTATTATTATTATTATTATTATTATTATTATTATTATTATTATTATTATTATTATTATTATTATTATTATTATTATTATTATTATTATTATTATTATTATTATTATTATTATTATTATTATTATTATTATTATTATTATTATTATTATTATTATTATTATTATTATTATTATTATTATTATTATTATTATTATTATTATTATTATTATTATTATTATTATTATTATTATTATTATTATTATTATTATTATTATTATTATTATTATTATTATTATTATTATTATTATTATTATTATTATTATTATTATTATTATTATTATTATTATTATTATTATTATTATTATTATTATTATTATTATTATTATTATTATTATTATTATTATTATTATTATTATTATTATTATTATTATTATTATTATTATTATTATTATTATTATTATTATTATTATTATTATTATTATTATTATTATTATTATTATTATTATTATTATTATTATTATTATTATTATTATTATTATTATTATTATTATTATTATTATTATTATTATTATTATTATTATTATTATTATTATTATTATTATTATTATTATTATTATTATTATTATTATTATTATTATTATTATTATTATTATTATTATTATTATTATTATTATTATTATTATTAAAAAAAAAAAAAAAAAAAAGAAGAGTTTTTTGCGACTGTAATAGGTACCGTTGCAAAAAAAAAAGAAGTAAAGTATATATATATATATATATATTGTGGCTTTGAGATGGCTTCATATATATATAGTCACAAAATGGTTTAAATAAATGCAATGGTATTTTTCTATCGCACACAAAAAAAAAAAAATTGAAAAAAACGACGTCGTCTTACTCTTTTGATATAACATTTCTCTTTTCACACATTTTTTCATCTTCCTGTCTATTTGTCTCTATCTTTGTCTCTCTTCTCTTTCTCTCTCTCACTCATCACTCTTCTCTATCTGTCTGTGCTCTTTCTCTCTGTGTTTCTCTCTCTCTCTTCTCTTTCTCTCTCTTACTCATTACTCTTCTCTGTCTGTCTGTCTGTCTTCTCTTTGTGTCTCTGTCTCTCTTCTCTTTCTCTCTCTCATTTATCACTCTTCTCTGTCTCTCTCTCTCTTTCTCTCTCTCTCTGTGTCTCTCGTCCATCTGTCTTCTCTCTATCTCTCTCATTTCTCTTCTCTCTCTGTCTCTCTTTTCTCTCTCCCCTCTCTCTTCTCTTTATCTCTCTCGCTCATCTCTCTCTGTCTCTCTCTAGTTTATCTCTTTTCGCTCTCTCTCTTTCTCTCGCTCATATTTTATCTCTCTCTTTTTTTGTCTCTCACTCTTGTTCATCTCTCTTCTCTCTCTATCTCTTTTTTTCTATGTCTCTCTCTCGTTAATCTCTTTTCGTTTTCTTTCTCTCTCTTTTTGTTTATCTCTTGCTTGTCTCTTGTTTTTCTCTCTTTTTCTGTCTCTCTCTCTATCTCTTTCTCTCTTTGTCTTCTCTATCTCTTTCTCTCTCTGTCTCTGTCTCTGTCTCTCTCACTCATCACTCTTCTCTTTCTCTGTCTACTTGTCTGTTTGTCTGTCTGTTTGTTTCTCTCTCTCTCCCTCACTGTTTCTCCTTGCTCACCCTCTCCCTCATCTTTTCTCTACTTATTGAGCTCCCTCTCAATTTATCGATCCACTACAAGAAAATGCACTTTTAGCAACCACTTTGTCTCTTTCTCGCTCATCACCTTCTCTCTCTCTCTCTCTGTCTCTCTATCTCTCTTCTCTATTTGTCTCCCACTCAACTCTCTCTCTCTCACCACCCATCTCCTCTACCACATTTACCACTACTACAAATGCCATTCCACTATCACCACTACTACCACTATTGCCACTCCACCTCTACGATTACCATTGCTACCACCATCGCCACAACTATTACTACTGCCACTGCAACTACCATTACCTCTCCTCCACCACAACCATTCCATCTCCTCTACCACCACTACAACTTCACCACTAATCTCCTTCGCCATCGCCATCGCCATCACCTCTTGTCCACCACTTTCACCACTACTGCCACTCACTTTCTTTTACCACAAAAAATTAGTTCTTGATTTTTAGTAACAAAAAAAATAAAAATATATGGGCCACAGAAACATATTTTTCATTGACAAAAAAAATTAACTTTATTTTAACGAAAAATATTTTTCATTAAAATATTACCCCTACTTCTGTAAAAAAAATAAAAATAAAAATTTCATTAAAAAAATAAAACAAATAAATTTTCAACCTTAGTAACTAAAAAAAATGAAAAATAAAAAAAATGTCATTAACTACAAAAATATATATATATATATATTAACAAAAAATAAATTTTTTTAGCAACGACAACTCCCGTTGTAAAAAAAAAAAAGGAAAAAAAAAAGTTAAATGGCACTGTTTTGTTTTATTGTTTAAATATTCATTTGTGACCAAAAATAAAATAAAACAAATTTTTTTTCCATTCCCGCTCGGTTTTCCCTCCTCAACCAAAAATCCCTAATCTCCTCTTATCTCTCTCTCTCTCTCTCTCTCTCTTCGGCGAGCGGCGGCAGACTAGGGTGTGATCTTGGTCATCATCTTCTTCACTTATCATCTAAGAAACCCTAGAATTTTTTAGTGTATTTTGGGGAAAAGAAAAGATAGGTGAATGGGGGAAGGAGAGAGGAGTCGCCAGCGCCGATCCGCTTTAACCTCACTACCGAACCTTCCAAGGAGTTGCCAACTATCCTCCTCCTCCTCCTCCTCCTCATCCTCATCCTCAGCCCGCCATCGGCTTCCCTCAACCTGTTCCTCCCCCAGGCGCCTCCGAACCCTATGCTAATGCCTATCAAGCCGTTCGAGGTTCCATCTCTCTCTCTCTCTCTCGCTCTGTGTGTGTGTGTGTATGTGTGCTCGATTTGAGCTAGTCAACCATGTATTGACTCCTCCAGATCTAAAAAATTAAAAAGAAATTATAAAATTCTTCATATTTTTTTGACAACATTACGAACTTTTGGGATTTGATATATATGTTGGGTTTAATGTTCTGTTGTTTCCTTTTAGTTGGTGGTATTGTGATTTTATTTTATTTATTATTATTATTATTTTTTGATCAGCAACAAATGGTATTGTGATTTTATGCTATGTACATGTTAACATTGCAGTTGATTTAGACCAGTGGGTTGACATTGTACATGCAAAGAGTGTGCACACACACACATGAAACGGAGGAAAAGAAAGTGACTCATTGTCTATCCTTGATCTGCTATTTTGACACTGAAATATTATTATTCATTCTTTGATAATGAAAAATAACATATTAGCATGAATAATGATCATAAACGTAACAGTGTGATATAATTCTATATCTGATTGTCCATAAATCTGATCATTTTCTTTTCAGAATTAATACCGATATATAATGGAATAATAGGTTCTTATTTGGTGCCTTGATGGCTTTCTCGCTCCTTGATACACTGTTTTGTATGATTAGTAATTTGCCTTTTTTTTTTTGTTCCTCTCAAATTTTCCTCTTCAACGGGGATGCTCTTATTACCCTATCAGCTAGTAGAAGATTCAATGGTGAAGTTGGATAGAATCTGTCGGGAAGCAAATGTCATGTTGGTATTTGCACACTCCTATGGCCTCACAGGGTTTGTTCGGATCAGTGTGAAGGTAATGGACCTTGAAATGTATATACATATATATATTTGGGTTAAATTTATTAACTTGGCATTTTGGAAAAGTTAGTATGGGGATGGTAGTGGCTACAAAATAAAAATTGGAGGCTTAACAAGGATGAACACATTATCAAATTTTAATATTTTTTGTTTTAATTTTTTAACAATCACAGATTTCTTGTGGGCTTGTTATTTTAAAATTTTCTTTGCTCTTCCCACAAGGGTGAGGTGGGATGTCAATCAAGATTGTTTGAATGGAAAGAAACACCAAAGTAGAAATTAAGTTTAGAAGAAAATACCAGACTTGTACTTTCTGCAGAGCTAGGGGTGGTAATTCTACTTTGCATCTTTGAGGCAGGAACATACTGTGATTGAGTCAAAGCCTGATCATTTTCTGGATGATCTCCGACTAAATTGCCCATGGCCTGAGTTGAGGAGGTATGGGTCTCAAAACTTATTTTTTCATTTGTTTGGTTGACTGTTGTGAGTTGTTTATTTTGGCGCATTAATTGTTAGTCTGTATATGCTAATGGCATTTAATTTTTTGTTACAAAAAATTTGGGACATGAATTTTTGGGAAACAAATTTATCACGAGCTATGATTGTAAATTAACTAAGATAATAAAGCGGTAAAGCAGCCTCGGGAAGAGGGATAAATGCACGCATGCTCGACTCCACCCGGAAATCCATCGCTATGCTCATGCTGCCTCTGTTTGCACTGTTTTCCTCTTCTAAAGACTGCACAAGTTTCCAAATTGCTTCTGAAATACTCCCTGAGAGTTGTGGGAGGCCACCGACCAAGAGGGAGCACCACCGGCCATGGAATTATGGTCATCGACCAAAAATTAGATCACTGGCTGGGTATTGATAGTCGGCCAGCACTGAAAGTTACCGACCGGCCATTTTTTCCTGCAGAATACTGGTTTGCTGCAACAGAGGATAAACAAGACATGGCAATGCATTTTCAAAGCAATTTATGTACCACCACCCCCTCAGCATGTTTGAGACTTAGAAGAGCATGGTTCTCGACCCTCAGGCCATCAATAACGCATTTCAATGCATGATGGCCCAAAAAAGTCAAGCGTGCAATTCGATATCAAATGAAATACACAAAACACATAAGGGACCTTAACCTCTATCATGTGTGATCAAAAGGCAAGGCAATGCACACACAATGCCATGCAACCTAAGCATGCAAACAAGCATGCAAACAACTCAAGCATGTGAACAAGCATGCAAACATGCAAGCATGTAATCAACATATCAAATACATGACAAGATGCAAGCTAACAAGGATGCAAAATGCAACTTAAGCATGCAACGACCGTTATCCTGGCGAACCTCTGCCATATTGTTGAAATCTAAATTTTGGGCAGTCATATCAAGTGATCCATTATTGCTTGGTGCCTGAAAATCACCATCATCTCCAATCATATTACGATTAATTGAACTCTTTGGCCCTCTAGTTAAAATGTCGATGTCTAGTGACAAATTGGCTGAATTGTTCTTGGTCCTCATCAATCTCTCAAGTCCCCTCTATGATTGTGCCATGTTCTCACCACAAGTACAAAAGCATATTATTTAATAAAGAACAAAATGTTAAACATGTCAGGGGTCATCACAATACATATTAAATTATTGTAACAGTGATTAGTATTAGTATTGATACACACCATTTTTACAAAAATATATGTAAAAAGTGCTTAGTATTCTAACTATTTTGGTATTACCTCCCTCTTAAAGACAGACTATAGGTTATCATTAGCATGATCCTTTGAAAAATAGTAGTGAACCTTACTATTTTCTAGATATGATAGGTCCTATATTTATACATATGGTTTGTTTGAATAAAAACAAAGGGGGGTAACTATGGAGATGAAAGTGAATTTTGAGTCAAACTATAAGGGTGAAAAGTGTAACTGATCCATATTTATTTTTCTGTTCTATACTTTGGGGGGCTTTGTTTCATTGTGGTCATAATGAATGACTAGTGGCGGGTGCACATGCTATGTCTACACGGTACACGTGTGCAACTTTATATCTAGTTTCTTGGATGGTTGGCTGAATGAGAAATATGCATTGGTTTGAAAATTGATTAGCAGTTATTTACTGAATGCGGTATGTTTCTTCATTCAGTTAGCGATTCTATGGGTGTTTTTTGGAAAATCAAAATTGTGTGACAAAGCTTCAAAAAGTGAGTTGTGTGTTTTATATGACATAATAGATAGAATAGAGTAGAAAATGCACAAAAACAGGTAAATTTTGCACCTTAAGTTTTTACAAAACTCTAATGAGAAATTAATCTTCTAATGTACTTCATGTTCTTTCAGAGATGGCTATGAAAAAAAATGGAGGTGGACGGAACTCCACCTTGACCAGCATTTGAAATATGTTTGGTAAAAGTAATTCAAGGATAATTTTGTCTGGAGTTAGAAATGCTATTTTTTTAAAACCTTATTTTCCATGTTTTATCATGATTATCGTCACAAATGTGAAAAGATGTTTTAGAGATTGGTCAAAACTAATGAAGTGTTTTAGGTTTTAAAATAAAGAATTTTATTTCATTCTTCTTTCTATTATACTCTATATAGGAGACTCTATATAGGATTCCTTTTGGGTTCAAAGTTTGTGGGATTTGGACCTACAACTTTTACAATGAAGGCAATGTCTTCCCAGTTAGACAATATAATCATGTGCTTATATAAGAACTATTTTATAATGTATATCAAAATTAATATATTTCATTGTTTTCGTATATACGATTGTTTGGCATCATTCTCTGGACTTTGTATTGAATCTTAACGATTCTCGATTTGATTCGATTAGATTCATGATTTCCAAACTTAGGGTTTCGATTCACTATATGATTCTCGATTTGGCATTGTGATACTTGCAGTGGCATTCAAATCTAGGGAGGACCATAGAAAGCAGCTGGAATTGGAAGAAGCACGTAAGGCAGGTCTTGCTCCAACTGAGGTTGATGAGGATGGAAAAGAAATTAACCCTCATATTCCTCAGTATATGTCATCTACACCTTGGTATCTTAATGCAGAGAGACCGGTATGTTTTCTTAAGTAATTTTGTTTTGTTACATTTAGTGTTTTGTGAAGGCTGGAGATTGAAAACTTTTGTTATCTTTCTTCTTGTTAGAGTTTAAAACATCAAAGGAAATGGAAGTCAAATCCAAATTATACCAAATCATGGTATGACAGAGGTGCAAAAATTTATCAGGCTGAAAAGTTTAGGAAGGGTGCTTGTGAAAAGTAAGTGAAAGTTGCTTTCTTTCTCTTTCTTTCTATGTATGGTGCATGCATGTGTTCTCTATTCTGTTCATTAATTTTTGCAATGGCTAGTCATTGACATGAAGACGTAATCAATATAGATTTTAGTTGTAGAAGAGTTTCATGTAATCTGCTTGTTTCAGTACCAAGGTTTAAACTATGGAGGTTATACCCTGCCTTATGGATGAGAACTCTGCCTTGGGGAGGGAAGAAAAGGTATTGGTGGGATGGGGATAGTGTGGCTAGGGTTGGTTGTGGTTAAGTCTTAGCGTATCATTTTGTTTAATACATTGAAAATTTTAACATGCCAATTTTATGATGATTGTTAACTGCTCACTGTACATAATTGGATTTATTTAATTATTCTTTTGATATCTTGTGTTAAGGAATTAACTGCATTATAGCATGTGCTTTGCACACTATAGGGAAGATTGTCTGGAGATGCCCTTGCTAGTAGGAGAGTTATTCATTACACGAGGCATAACTTGCTGTTAATGCTCATTAGGTCTTGTATAGTTTAGTTGATTCCATGTCGTCACATAGTTGGTACCTTTGGGGGAGATCTTCAAGAGAGCTCTTCCTTTTATTTTCGATACCATCTTTTTTTCGTTCTTTTTTTTTTTTTTTGTGTGTGTGTGTGTGTGTGTGTGGTGGTGGTTGCTAACATGTAATTAGCTCATCGTAAACTTTTTGAATTTATGACATATCATTGCTGGAGATGGCAAATTTGAATGCTTGAACTAAGTTGTGCTTTTTTTTTTTTTCTTTTTCTCAAGTGTCAATAACTTACTTTGACTATAATTTTGGGAAAGCTATTCCACATATTTGTTATGTGTATTTTTTAATATGAATGTAGGGAACTACAGTTGAATTGATATGAGCTCTCTGCTGCAGCTGTGGAGCCATGACACATGACTCAAAGTCATGCATGGACAGGCCACGGAAAGTGGGAGCAAAGTGGACAGACAAAAACATTGTCCCAGACGAGAAAATAGAGACCTTTGAGTTGGAATGGCTATGATGCAGCTAGCTATGCCTATGTCATTGAGAGATATGAAGCAAGGGACGAAGCTAGAAAGAAATACTTGAAGGAGCAACAACTTAAAAAATTAGAAGAGAAAAATGGTAACCAAAATGGAGAGGATGAGGTTAGTGATGATGAAGACAATGAAGATGCTCTAAAGGTAGATGAAGCCAATGTTGATGAGAGCAAACAGATGGACTTTGCAAAGGTCGAGAAGCGTGTGCGAACAACAGGTGGTGGGAGTACAGGAACTATCAGGTGATTGTTCTTTCTTTTCTTTATTTTTTTTCTTCCTCCTTTTATTGTTTTCTTGTTCCTGCCATTTATTAAAAACTATTATACAGTCTAGTTTTTTTTGTTTTTTATTTTGTTTTTGGGGTTGAGGGGTTTCATTGTTGAATAGGTGATAGGTATACCCTGTATGCATGCTTGTTGGTTTTGTGATGTGGAAATTGTTTTCTCAATTCTTCGTTGGAAAAATTTGTTTGTTTTCTTTTTCCTATCAGGAACCTGCATATTCGGGAGGACACAACAAAATACCTTCTTAATCTTGATGTAAACTCTGCCCATTATGATCCTAAAACCCGTTACAACATTAGAAAGAACTATGTTTTTAAGAAGTCCGTTTTGAGTAGTGTATAAAAATTTGATTCTTCCAAAAGAGCATTTGGAGCTTGCTTAACCACAAATTAACATAGTTATGGAACTCCACGAATAAAATACATATAGGTCTAGAGGTTTACATTTTGTTGTGCAGCATATAGCTCAGTCTAGGATATATCTACACCTTTATGTGTACAAACATAATATATGCGTATATGCCAATTAATTGAAGAATGATGAACTTTTGTATAGATACTAGAAGGCTGACATTTCTTTGAAGGCGTCATAACTTATTTCCATTGCTTAATTTTCTCAAAAACGCATCTGTTCTCATTGTTGATTGAGATGTTTAATTATTCATGTGGGATGTGATGACTAACAAAAAAAAAACGTTGTATTTGATGTTGTTGGGAGTTAGAGCCAGATTTCAGATATAATTTTTATGTTTTTTTTGTATTTGATGCTATAGTAGTTAAATTTTTACTTTTGTATTTGATTGAGATGTTTAATTATCCATGTGGGATTTGATGACTAACAAAAAAAATGTTGTATTTGAAGCTATAGTAGTTAAATTTTTATGTTTTTTTGTAATTAACATTAACACATAATTATATTGTCATTAATTATTTTTATTTTTATTTTTTAGATATTTCCCATATAAGAGTGTGCTTCTTGTGGAATGCATGCCTGTG